AATGAGGTCGATAGGTTTAATTTATCGTGCGATTAATTGATTTATCGTTTATCGCGACAGGCCTAAAAGTAGCTGTTTAAAATTCTCCTAAGATGCTACAAAATCTGATTTGGTGTGAAGTGCAACCAGTGAGCTGCTATATTACAGATTAAACCCTTCAGTAAAACTTCATTATAAATTATTTTCTGTATCTTCTGGGTTTGGCAAAGTTGAGAAAAGATAAATAATTTGAGCTCTGCTATTGACATTTTAATTAGAAGTATTTCACATTAATATATGTAAAATGTAACATCCTCCCACAGATCCAACCTGGAAGCGTCGTCTCACTGAACGACTGAAGTTTTCACCAGCAGCTTCCTACTCACAGGCACCGAATCCGTTTTCCTCTGTAAGCCAACAGCTTTGGCTTCTCCGAACACGTTCTGATCCAGACAATCAAAGCTAATTAGTGCAGATTCACAGGCTGAAGTTACTGGAGCTGAAAACTTAAATAAGAAAATATTTTTACATTTCAAATTTTACTTTTTAGCAACTCCTTTTAAAGTTTTCAGAAATACTTATACTACATATCATTACTCTAAGGTTGTATAGATGGGACGACCACAGTGGAAAACATTGGATGTGACATGAAAATTATTAACATTTAATGATAATAAATGGTTTGGAATGCAGATCCACTGATACCAATATCTGAGGCTTAGTGCTAATTGACTTAAAACGTTTTGTTTTTCTTTTAATGCAGATTTAAATGTATCAAATTCCTAATTAGCAGAGTTAAAACACACCAACAGGCTTTGGTCTAAAAACAGCTTTAACTTCAGTGCAGTTAGGAGGAGAACAGCCGATGTAAAATAAGTAATAAAGAAACTGAAACTGATAAAAACAATGGCAGGACTTCCTTACACTGCAAAACATAAAATATTACCAAGTACTTTTAGTTTAGTTTTCAGCACAGATATCTCAGTACACTTCAAATAAAACAAAACTAACTTAAAAGTAACTTTTCAGTTTGTTTTAAGTCAATAATTCTTACTATTCAGTAAAAATTACTATTTCTGTTGGCAGATATAATAATAAAATGTTTTTCCCATGTTATAAGTTTAGTAATTTACCGATGTCACTTGAACTTTTTCACCAATATTAAGGAGTTATTGCCTCAAGACAAGCTCACATATCTTCCTGAGAAGTTATTTTTAAGTTAGTTTTGTCTTATTTCAACTGTACTAAGATATTTGTGCTAAAAACTAAACTAAAAGTTCTCGGTAAGATTTATGTTTTGCAGTGTGAAAAATAAAACTTCTTTCAAACGGGTCAGAAAATGCAGTTAGGAATCCTAAACATAACTGAACGATAAATCCCGACGCAGAGAATCGGACTGGATAGATTTGCTCTTCAGAATCGGCCACATTGTCTCTGAAACATCTAGAAGTTTGTTCAGTATGGCGGCCATCTTGAAACATGGCCGTCATCCTGAAATTAAAAAAATCCCAAGTTTTTATGCTTGTATGGTTGGATGGTTTTTTACAGTAAGACGCTCCAGTATGACATGAGTTTAAATATTTCCGAAGCAAAACGAGAGGAAACAGAGACACGCAGCGAGTCCAGCAGACAGGAACAAAGTCCTGCTCTCCAGTTTCCTGTCTGCACATCAGCATGGAGGCCCATCAGTAATGAGCTGGCACACACCAAGATGGCAGCTCACGCAGCCTCGAGAAAAAAGACGGGGAAAGCTCGTCATGTCCAATGTGTGCAGTGGGAAGAGAGCCACGACCTTTGCTGATGCGGCTGCGACTTCCCTCCAGTCGGCCGCGCTTCTGAAGCTTCGGGAGGAAAATCTGCCTTCAAACACCTCGACTCATGAAGCAGCATCAGGAAGCATCTCCAGTTGCTGCTGCGAATCAGGCTGAGCGACATGGACTGAAGGTTGGTCCTGAGGATCTATGATCAGAACAATTAAAGTGACGACACCAACTATTTATTCAGGTTTTTAGGCAACAGCATGAACAAACAGAAATACTGGAAAATATTCCCATTAAAACAAGATTCTTTAGGACTCCAGTCACATGAAGACGTGTCATTTGTGTCACTAATCTGTAATTTATTGATATTTATTCGCTCCATCAGGATAATAAATTTTACTGGACAATAAACAAAAATATTGTTTTGTTTCACATAATTTAAAGGTAATAATGCCATGATAACGCAAGAACGCATTCTCAAAGATAAATAAACTAACACTGGAACTGGAAGACATTTTAAATGTCCAAAAGAAATAAACATGAAAAATGAATTATTAAGTCTCTAAACAAGAATTATCCTTCAAAAACAGGTTTTAGTTGAGACCAAAACTCCAAACTGAAGATTTTTACCATCCAGTTTGTGGTAAAACAATAAATCATGCAAATGGAAATTATTGAGCTCATTTCAACTTAACGTGCGATTAATTGATTTATTGCCTAATATTTATTGATACTTTTATTGAAAGAAGAGTGGAGGGTTTGACCTTTGCCCTCTCTCACTTTCCTGTCTGGCGACTGCTAAAAGGAAGGCGACTCAAGCCAACGACCTTAAAAAATAAAACAATCCGGACAGTTTTAAAAGTTTTTAAACATAATTAATTGGAATTTATTGTGATAATAAAATTCTTGCGATAAGAAATTTATCACAATAAATAATCAATCAAGTTTATCCGTAAATCACATTTCAGCAACACGGCAGTTCAAAGTGAAAACAAATAAACAGACAGACGTCACATTCTGGATTTATTTTTACTTGTTAGCATTTAATTATTACTACTCTTGTTTTTTTGTATTATTTTTTCTTTCTCTTTTCAACTTATTCTGTTGTGTTTTTGTTTTTGCTCAGCACTTTGGTTCGGTTTTAAACCCGTTTTTAAAGAGATATCTAAATAAAACCAGTAACAGACATTACTACGCCTGTTGCATTAAATCAATTAATATCGCGATAAATTAAAACAAGCTCAATAATTTCCATTTCCATGAATTATTTGTTCTCTTTTCTCTCTTTTTCTACCAAAAACTGGATAATAAGTTAATTTTGTTTATAGAGACTTCATAATTAATTTTATTAGTTTATTTATATTTAAAATATCTTACATTTCCAGTGTTAAATATTCATTATAATTTGAGAATGTTCTTGTATTATTACACCATTATCACCATTATGTTACTTGAAAATGGCCTCAAACCAATAATATTATCGTTTATCGCGATAACATCTGGGACAATTTATCGTCCAGTATAACTGACGGGCTCAGACGTTACATTATGTCCAGTGAGATCATTAAAACAATCAATACACAGAATAACTGGTTTATTTTCCATGTTTTATGGTTCAAACCAACTCTGAATCCTCTCCTACATCAGGGAGAGTTTGTGTCACGTTAGCTGCTGATTTGGTCGGTTTATTCAATCACTCTAATCAATTCACATCTGATTAGATTTCAGATTGCGGCGGTTGATGTTGAAGAAGATGAATATCATGAGTGCGGATTGGCGACATCATCTGATTCTTCCAGTCTGAACTAAATCCAATGACCAGATTCCCCTGAGAGCAATTAGCCGTTCTGCTACCTGGTGGACTTTCACCACCGGACCTGCTGCAGCCTAACAGAGCAAAATAACGTTCGCAGGGAAATGGCCTCCTTTTATTTAAACGCCATCGATATTGGCAGCAGGAGTCCGAGCAGCAAACGGTCATAAAAAACGACTCGCAGAATTTGCAGCGTCTCGCTTGGAGTCTAACTGGCTGCAGCAGGCGGTGAGTTACCAGGGGCGATGAAGAGCGCCGGAGCGAGGACCCGGAGTCACCGCTCGTCTTCCTCCCTTCACTGCGAACGAAAACAAAACCCGACTGCCGCCACCTGGAGGCGACGCCAGCAGCTTGCGGCCTGCGGTTCACCGTTTCAGATCCTGTTTCCTTTTCGTTCTGGTTGAGTCACTTCGGATCTCTACCGCGTTCCTGGGAAATAAAGGTTAGTGGGTTAGGAGTCCAAACAGGACCTTAGTCCACACGCAACCGGATATCTGGGAAACAAATTTATTTTATGAGTTTTGGCCTTTCATCCACAAGGAAACTCAATAAAAACTATTACACTGCAAAATCACAACATCGTACCAAGTATTTTGGTCTAGTTTCTACTGCAAACATCTTGGTAAACTTTAATTAAGACAAACTGACCAGCGACTTTTAAGAAAGAGATTGGGATTTGGTTTAAAGGAACTCAGTGTTTCGGCAGTTTTGTTGTTTTCTGGAAGTTTGTTCCAGATTTATGGTGCATTGAAGCTGAAAGCAAATTAAATAATTTCCATTTGCATGATTTATTGTTTTTCTACCTAAAACTTGATAAGATTCTTCAGTCTGGTGTTTTGGTCTCAACCAGCAATTTTTTAAGGACAACTTTGACTTCATGATTCATTTTATTTGTTGTTTCTGCTGTTTTGTTTATTTTGGATATTTTCCAGTTCCAGTGTTAAATGTTGATCAGAATTTAAAGTTTATTGATCTTTGAGAATGTCTTATTATTATGCCATTATTACCATTATTGTACATGAAAATGGTCTAAAAGCAACAATATTATAATTTATCATAACTTCGTTTTTGTAACATGGCTCCAAATAATGTGCCAACTTGCTTTGACAGATTCCCTGGAATATTATTTCACTTTTAACATGGGAAAAAATATCTTACTACAAGTAATGAAAGTCAGTGGGACTGTAACTTTTTCATCATTATTATTAAATTATTGACCTAAATAAGCTCCAGTATCTCGCTGAAAAGTTAGTTTTGTCTTATTTGAAGTGTACTAAGATATTAGCAGCAGAAAAACACTTGGTAGGATTTTGTGGTTTTGCAGTGCGCTCTGCACAGAACCAGAACATGAAGAAGCAGCTTTCAGCTTCAAATCTGGAACAAACGTCCAGAAAACAACAAAACAGCCGAAACACTGAGCTCCTTTAAATCAAGGCTAAAAACCCATTTGATTCATAACATTAATATATTTGCTTGACGGCTTTGGACAAAATGTTTATTGCTTGTTTCATAATTGACGTTTTAATGGAGCAAAGCCCTTTGAACTGTTTAAACTTCAGACAAACAAAAACGCCAACACGCCCTGTTGGAGTAAAGCAGCATCTTTGGGCCCTGAGTCTCATCAACAAGCATCAGATTGTCAGGTGTGGTGGTTGCGAGGTGGTGAGGAGAGACGCAGAGATCCAGGTTGTGATAAAGGTGATGATGGATTTAATGAAGAAAGCTCAACAGTCCAGAACAGGCAGCATGGCAGAGTTAGCACACAGCTAATTACCGGTAGCAGCTGAGAGGACTGAANAACGAGAGCTGACGCCGACACAGGACTTAACCAGTTCTACTGTGACGATGGACAGACTGACGCCGACAAAGACCCGACAAGAGACAGAGACAACAGGTGGACTTAAACACACAGGGAGGGTAATCAGGTAACTGGACACACCTGGGAAGCAATCAACGGGGAAGACGCAGAAACAACAGAGACTGAGGACAGAAACTGAACACAGAAAAACCTTAAAATACGCAGAAACACGGATCATGACACAGATGCAGATTACAGGCCAACAGTTCATCCTGTTCGTCTAACTGATGGAGTTTGTTGGGAAGAAAAGGCGAATCGGACAGAAACGGAGCAGAGTGCAGCTGCAGAGGTCACCAGATTTAAGCAAACACATGTGATTTATTTAAAGAGCAGATTTAAGGTCCTTTTAAATTGTAGGAAAATTTTATCTGAGGGTAAACTGTCAATCTAGTTGATGCATTTGGTCTAATTTAGCTACCAAATGTTTCAAATCAACGAAAAAACTCGTAGAAAGTCGATGGTAAAGTGTCAGCTTAAGTACTTTTTATGAACTTAAAAATGACATCAGATGGACCAAAACATAAAGTTAAGTGGAAATTTTGGTATTTTAAGGACCAAAATGACAATAATTTATATATATATATATATATATATATATATAAA